TATTTAAAGTAAACTTCTTTTCTTTATTGTTTGTTTTTTCTTTGCTTAGTAAAACAAAACTTTTAGAACAATAAGCTTTGTTTATAAAAAGTTTATTTATAATGACAAAAAGAATATATAGAAATAAAATTTGCTTATTAAATATAGTAATTTTTATTTTCATAGTTTTATATTATGTACAAGAAGTTTAATTATTAAACTTCATAAAAATAAAATAGATTATATGTAATATAAATTAGTCTGAATTGTGATATATTAAATATATTATGAATAGACTTTATATATGTATTATATTATGATTTTGTTTGATTAAATATTATTTTTATAACGAACAACAAATATAAATAATGATAAAAATATTTGTTCTAACAAACAGCCTTATTTCTATAATAGTCTTAAAATATTTATAAATAGTATTAATAAAAAAGAGACTAAATTCAAATAAATTAATTTAGAATAAGATAACCACAATAATAGCAAAGAGAACAATGAATGGACTTGATGCAGCATCAAGATTATCATAATTATCTGAACTACTTCCTGGTTTATTATTTGAGCTTTCATCTGGTTTATTATTTGAGCTTTCATTTGGTTTATTATCAGAACTTTCATTTGGTTTATTATCAGAACTTTCATTTGGTTTATTATCAGAACTTTCATTTGGTTTATTATTTGAGCTTTCATCTGGTTTATTATTTGAGCTTTCATCTGGTTTATTATTTGAGCTTTCATTTGGTTTATTGTTTGAGCTTTCATCTGGTTTATTATCAGAACTTTCATTTGGTTTATTATCAGAACTTTCATTTGGTTTATTATCAGAACTTTCATTTGGTTTATTATTTGAGCTTTCATCTGGTTGGTTATTAGAATTTTCATCTAATTCACTGTTTGAACTACTTTTTTTATCTTCTTCATTTTCTATGTCATTTTCATGAATAGACTCTTTCTTTGAAAACAAATCGTAAAGGCCAACGTCTTTTAATTCTTGTTCGATATCAGGAATAACGTTGGTTGCAGTAGTGAATGCAATAAATAATAAAAATGCGAACATTGAATAATTTATCTTTTTCAGAACTTCGTTTAAATATATTATATGTCATCAAAAACTAGTCTTTATGCTCCACTCAACCCCTTTTATTTGAGTTGAAATTAATACACTTTATTCTTTTCATCTATTAACGTTTGTTCCTTTGTCTCACACAGATTTCCTAGTATTACTCACAAAAAGTATTGATGAGAAAAGTTTTCAATTACTTGAAGATATTTTATTGTTCTAATTATTATGCTTGAGTTAAAACGAATGAGAGAATTTCAGTTGAATTGAGTTGACTTGAATATTTCAAAGTTAGAAACAATCAAAAAATGAAGAAAAATCCCAAAATGAAATATGGTTAAAATTGGTAATATTTCATAATATTATTATAGTTTAATATTATAAATTAAAAAAAATTTTATTAATTGGTAAGAAAAAAGAATAAGTGAGTTGCATTAGTTTAAATATTATTAATAAATTATTCAATTTACTAGTTTTATAGTTAAAATTAATTTTATAAAATATTTCCTTAGAGTTATTTCTTACAAGTTGTACTTCAATAAAATATTCTTTATGATTATTATAAATTATTATCTTTTCTTTATTTTCATTGTTTTGTCTTCTTGGATTTCATTAGTTTCATTCTTCATTTCATTTTTTCATTAGTTTTTATCCCTTCATTAACCACTTATTGTGTTACCAATTTCTGCTTGATTTTCTGATTTCCTTTGTTTTAATTTTGTATTTTTTTCCATTCCTTTCTATTTATAAGAATAATGTATGTTTAAATAACAATATGTCATCTCATCAATGGAATATTAATTAATGTCTATCATATTTGGAATGTTATTTAATTTTTATCAACAGATAATTTTTGGTTGTAGTACTGTCAAATATTTGTTTTAATCTAATTAAAATTAATTAAAATAAAAAGTAGTTAATTAAGTGTTATTAAATTTATTTTCTATTATTCCTTGCTTGGTGGAGAATAACCCCTTCATTGAGTTTAAGACTTTTTACTCATCCACTATTCACTTCTTCTTTATCTCTTTGTTGTTAAGACATGTAAATTTCTATTTTTCATTCTTTTATTTACATTAAGTCAAAATCTTTTCAAACACCTAACTTAAATATTCTTCATTTAAGTAACTGTTTCTTCTTTATTTGAATTTCATGTATATTAAAACTTCTCATTCTTTACTTTCTTATTTTATGATGAATATACCATTAATACTATGTTTATTATGTCTAATTTCATTCATCATCAAAATGTATATCCATATATTTTATTTGATAGTATCTATATTAACACATATACTTGCATCAGAACAAGTAAAAATACTATTATCTTTACAAATACACATTCTTCTATTATAATAAATGTCCAATAATATTCTTGAAGTATTGAATAAGAAATTTTCTATCAAACACTAACACCATAGCCAGATAATAACTGATAATTCAAGTCTTATGACTATGTTAATATTTATGGTGCGATTCTGAATTACAACCAAATAAATAACATTAAAATTGTTAAATGTATTTTATGATATTGTTATTATATTAAAAATGAATGATATTCTTTAAATATTATTTTCATTTTACATTCTATCATATTTCTTCACTTCTATAAAAGAATGAAATGATATTATTTTCATTATTTAGTATTGACATTTAATAAATAAACATAAAAACCATTTCATTCGTTTTATTATTTATTATACTTTATCTCATTGACATTATTTATTCATTTTCTTTTTTGACTTTAACCTCTTTTCATCTTCTTCTATTTAATTTCCATACTTAAATGACTCAAAAGAATGTAATTTAAAATAAATAACAAATTATAAATAACAAAGAAATAAAAATACAACATAAAAATTTAAATAAATACAAAAAGCGTTTTAAAAATAAACTTTTAGAAAATTTCAATGCCATTCAACGAAGAAACAAAATATAATAATTCAAAAAATTTATTTATAATAAACGGTCTTTGATAAAAATAAAAAATTCAAAATATAAATAAACCAATAGAATTAAAAATTAATAAATTTCAATGAAAAAATAAACCAAATTAATTAAATTTTTAAATTTATTAGTCTTTAGCTTCTTTATAATCAATAATAGCTTCCATTCCCATAGCAGTTTGAACAGCAACAATAAGTTCTTTTCCATCATCATAATCAGCTTGAATCTTTTGTCCCATTTCACCTTCTGGGAGTTTAAGATCATCTCTGGTTTCTCCACTTTCAAGAAGAAGTGATGCATATCCATCATTAATACCAATAAGTGAAAATTCAGTTCTCTTTACTTCTGGGACTTCAACATTGTGAGTTGATGGGCAAGAATCATCAAGTCTCTTTCCAGTGAAAATATCATAACCAGCAAATGTAACTTTAGCATGTCCATGTTTTCCAGTCTTAGAAGTTGACATTTCAAAAACTTTACATGGTCTTCCCTTAATAACAACATAACCACCTTTTCTTAAAGCAGAGCATTGGCATGGATATACTCCAGAATGCTCAGCATTTCCCTTTTCAAATTCATTATCACTTCCATTTGATGACATCTTTTGTTAATTCTTCTTCTAAAGTTCTTCTCTTAAATATACCATTTCAGGGTTTCTTTTTGTGTTTAACGAATCTTTTAGTTTTCATTTATAGTTATGTTTAATAAAATCGTTTCTTAAATTTTCGATCAGGAAAATGATTAAAAGATTGCCCTCAACTAATTGTTTCATATTATTTTATGAATTAATTTTTTAATAATTCTTTATTTTATTAAAATATTCCAAAGACTTCCATGACTTTTTTATTTATTTCTTAGATTGAACGATTTTTCATATTTTGAGGTTTTTAGTTTTTGAAATTATTAATAAAAATAAATTGAAAATGAAAGAATACAAATGAAATTTAATTTTTTTTTACATTTCAGAGTCATGTGAATTGAAAGAGTCTTGTTGGCTTGCTGAATCTTTTTTGTCTTTCTTTTCCCTATGGAAGAAAGAAAATCCCCATTTTTTCTTTTTAATAGATCCCATAGAGTCAGATCTTTTTGGTACTGCTAATGTAACTTCATTAATTGTTCCATCATGAACATTTCCAATTGAATAAATATCTTTAAAACTTCCTGTTAAATTGATATTACTAGAATTTCTTGTAATTTTTGTTGATGTGATTAAATTTTTTGGTTTTTCTTCTGTCCTTTCAATAGATTGTTCTTTACTACTTCCCCGACTATGTGCTTTACCTGCTTTCTTTTCTTCTTTTTTTCTTTGTTTTTCCTCTTTCTTTCTTTCCTTTTCAAGTTGTTTTTCTCGTTCTTTCTCTATCTTTTCTTCCATTTTCATTAATTTATGTAGTTTAGACCCACAACTTGTTGTTTTTCCAGGTGATGATTCTAATGACGTAGGTAATGAAACACCTTTCTTTTTGTCATCGTGTAATATTGGTACATTCTTCTTGG